ACGATAAAATCAATGAAATCAATAAAAGTGTTCAGCAAAGTGGAAGGATGTAAAATTAACATAAAGAAGTGAATGGCCTTCATGGGGTGCCTGGCTGGATCAGTTTGTAGAGCAAGTGACTCTTGATCTCAGGGTTGTGAGTTTGAGCCCCACAATGGGTGTAGAGATTACTTAAAAATAAAATCTTTTAAAAAAGTCATCAGTGGCCTTCATATATGCAAATAATAACCAGTTAGATTAGAGGACATAATGTGAAAACTCCACTTAAATTAGCAACAAAGAAGATAATATACCTTAAGAAGGAACCTAAGATGAAATGTGAAAAAAATCTATGTGAGGAAAACTTTAAAATGTGTTTGTCAGGGGCGCCTGGGTGGCTCAGTCGGTTAAGCGTCCAACTCTTGATTTAAACTCAGGTCATGATCTCATAGTTCATGAGACTGAGTTCTTTGTCAGGCCTGCTTGAGATTCTCTGTCTCCATGCATGGCTCCAGTGGCACAATCGGTTAGCGCTCGGTACTTATAAGACAGTAGCCGGTGGGCTATGTCGAGGTTGTGAGTTGGAGCCTCACCTGGAGCTGCTTTTACTGCTCTGCCTGCGGCCCGGGGAGAGCCGTGGGATTCTCTGTCTCTCTCTCTCACTGCCCTTCTCCCCCCCTCTCTCTCTCTCAAAATCAATAAATATTTAAAAAATGCTTTTGTTAAAACCCATAGATCATTACAGCACAAAAAATGAATCTTAATGTATGAAAAATTTAAAAAAGTCAACCAGGAGATCAGGTAATCCCAGGATGGAATGCAGACTATGACTATGAGAACATAATCAAACTGTATTACAAATAAATAACATGAACTCAGGCAAACCATGAGAGACTCTTGAATGCTGACAAAAACTGAGGATTGATGGATGTGGGGGGGAGGGGGAGGGGCATGGAGGAGGGCACTTGTGGGGAAGAGCACTGGGTGTTATGTGGAAACTAATTTGACAATAAACTATTTGTAAAAAAAAAAAAAAAGAAAAAAGAAATAGGACCCACCACATTTAAAACTTTGTTCTAAATCAAAAATAATAATAATAATAATAACATGAACTCACAGAAGGGGGAGGGAGGAGACATGCTGAACTAAGTAACCTTTGAAAAGGTATTTTTAAGAAATGTTGATTTATTTATTTTGAGGAGGGAGGGATAGAGAGAGAGAGAGAGAGTGAGAGAGTCCCAAGCAGGCTCCATGTTGTCAGTGCAGAGCCGGACACAGGGCTCGATATCACAACTATGAGATCATGACCTGAGCTGATAAGAGTCAGATATTTGACAGACTAAACCACCCAGGTGCCCCAGAAAATGGTATATTTTAAAAAAAAATTTTAGCGTTTAATTTATTTCTGAGAGAGAGAGAGAGACAGCATGAGCAGGAGAGGGACAGAATCTGAAACAGGCTCCAGGCTCTGAGCCAGCTGTCAGCACAGAGCCCAACGCGGGGCTCGAACCCACGAACCGTGAGATCATGACCTGAGCCGAAGTTGGACGCTCAACCGGCTGAGCCACCCAGGTGCCCCCAGAAAGTGGTATTTTGACTGTCAACTCCAATGGTAAAGACAAAAGGAACCATAGAAGAGCATTTAATTCAATGTTGGCAATATTTATTTCCCATAGAGCTACAAGTTAACAATTCTGACATTGTTACATATGTGTACTGCGATTGAATAATTAAGTAAATGGGTGGTGGATGGTTGGAGCCAGATTTCTCATGGCTGGAATGGGAGGACACAGATAAGCACAAAAAGATGGAATGAACCATGCTGTACTGGAATATCAGTATGAATTCATATTTGCTTTAAAATACATACAGATGGATAGATACAGAAATATAGATATGTGTGTATACATGGATCAGTATACATATCTTTATTTCTAAGATACTATGATCATAAACATGACCAAAAGACAACTGACAATCTGGGAGAAAATACATGTAACATCTATTGCAGTAAGTGTTCATATCCTCAATATACAAAGAACTCTTAAAACTTAAGGGGAAAATGGGGCACCTGGGTGGCTCAGTCGGTTGAGCATCAGACTTCAGCTTGGGTCATGATCTCCTGGTTTGTGGGTTTGAGCCCCACATCAGGCTCTGTGCTGACAGCTCAGAGCCTGGAGCCTGCTTTGAATTCTCTCTCTCTCTCTCTCTCTCTTTCTCTCTCTCTGTTCCTCCCCTGCTCACTCTATCTCAAAAATAAACATTTAAAAATTTTTAAGGGAAAAAGGTCAAAAGAGCCAATAGAAAAATGGGCAAAATATGTGAACAATTTACACATTAAAAAGGGATATTAAAATAACCCTTAAACATATGAAAAATGTAATCTTTCTCATAATTAGAGAAACAGAAATGAAAACTACACTGAGAGAGGAGCACCTGGGTGGTTAAGTTGGTTAAACATCAGACTCTGGATCTCAGCTCAGGTCTTGATCTCAGGGTCGTGAGTTCAAGCCCCTTGTGAGGCTACACACTGGGCATGGAGCCCACTTTAAAAAAAAACAACACAAAACTACACTGAGAGAATGTATAAATGGATGGTGAAATATCTACACCATGGAATTCTATTCATCAATAGTAAGGGGGGGAATTCTGATATACACAACAAGTTGGATAAATCTCAAAAGCATTATGCTGAGCAAAAGAAGCAAGACATAGAAGAATGTAAACTGTCTGATTCTATTTGTGTGAAACTCTAAAAAAGACAAATACAGTGACAGAAAGTACATCAGTAGTTGCCTGAGGTTGGGGGGGTGTCAGGATGGGGTACAAAGGAAACTTTTGGGGCACAATGAAAGTGTCCTATATATTGATTGTGGCAGTGGTACAAGGTTGTCTACATTTGTCAAAGTTCACTGAACTGGACCCTTAGGTATATGTATTGTTAAAACAAACAAACAAGACAACAGGAACAAAATGGAGCTGCTTATGCTAAGCCCCACTTCACCAAACCAAGACTTAATTACTATTTTTTGGCTCTCCCAGAAATGGAATCGTACACAATCAATCAGGAACCACTCTGATCAGAGCACTAGTTTGGTAGTTTGCCTGACAGGCTCCTGCTATCCCTAAAGGAAAGTAACCTTGTAATAACCCATTTGGGTTTTTTGCTTAGAAAATTTCCTTATTCCCACTCCCTTCTGGCCATAAAAGTCTTTTATTTTGTACAGCTTCTTGAGGCTCCTTTCCATCTACTAGATTAGATGCTGTTGTAGCAGGATTCTCGCATAGAGTCGTGACACCGAGATGGGGTTTTTTTTGTTTGTTTTTGTTTTGTTTTGTTTGTTAGGAAGCAACTTTATTTGTGCCAGCACAGCTCAGTTGGGTTTGTACCCGAAGAACTGAGCCCTGAACACCACATGGCGTAGTTTTTTTAAATATATATTTTTTTAAATTTCCCATATATGGTAACACAGAAACCTGTTGTATGATTAAGTGGTCTCATGTCCAAGGTCGACAGGGATGTTGTCATGTATGCGTATAGCCAGGATGCCTTGAGGCTTTTTTTTTCCTTTTCTTAGGGAGGGGACCCTACCACACTGCCTAATTCAAATAGATTTTTGCTCAGATAAACTCTTAAAATTTTAAATAAGCTTCACTTTATCTTTTATGGGTGGGGGAGGATGAGGGAGAGGATTTCAATAAGGTTCATGAAATTACAAAACAGAAAAAAGACCCTTGGCTGAAAACATTTTCCCACAGCAGGCAAATTATTTACCCCTATGAAAATGAGGGCAAAATAAGCCTTCCATGAGATACCATTTCTTATCTCTCAGATCAGGGGAAATTTTAAAATACGACAACTTAGTCTGTTGGAAAAGCTGTAGGGAAACAGGCTGTCAAATATGTTGCTAGTGGGAATAAAATTGGAAGGGCCCTTTTGGGAGGAAATTTGGACATACCTAACAAACTATATATGCATTTTTTGATGCAGTAATCCTGGTCCTATGTATTTACCCTAAAGATACACCTCAGATAATACAAAAATACATATATGTACAAGGGCATTCTTTTTGGGATTGTTTATAATTGCAAAATATTGGAAACAACCTACATGGGCAAACATAGGAGAGTGGTTAAATTATGTCTAATAATGGGGGACTGTGTGGCTGTGAGAGAGAAAGGAGGTATTATCAAATGAAAAATGCAAAGCATGCTATCCTTCGTGTAGGATAAATAAGACAATGTACATATATCTGTTTATCTGAGCGAAAAGAAACACAGAAGGGATAAACCAGAAAGTAGAGTGGTTACCTCAACAAAGGTGGGAGGGGCAAAATGGAATTCAAACAGAAACAAAGGAATCTGACCTTATTTCAAATGAATCACACAGCCTAACTGAAGGGGTTGGAGGAGGAGGAGGAGGAGGAGAACTAACCCAAGTAGTTTTTAAAACACAGTATTTTGACTCCTATAAGATTAAAGACAAAAGGAACTGCATCAAATATTGAAGACTGTAAAACCCAGTATTTTGACTATAGACGGTCATGAGCCTAAGGACAAAAGACTGTAAAACAACTACTGAACTCTAGTTGATAGGTTTGTTTTTTGGAGTCTTATGGTTTAACAATTCTGGTTATTTAATGTGTATTTTATGATTACACAAATAAGTAGATTTATTGTGGGTAATGAGAGCCAGGTTTCTTTCTGTTGGAGAAGGGATTTACAAATATGGAAAGTGAGAAAACTAAAATAAACCTTGTGTTGTTCAATGTAAGGTATTAGTAATGAACTTATGTTTTCAAAATATAGATACCTATAGTAAAATATATAAATAGGTATAACTAGATAGATTAGAATACATACATATGTTTCCTAGCTGTGTACACTAAGAAGGCCTAGAAATAATTACACCCTAGCAGCAATGAACACTTCGTCAACTGCGGCTGAAAAAGAATAAAGTGAGTCCGTAGCATCTTGTAGTGCCAACAAGAAAGTGCTAAAAATAAAAACAAAAAACAAACCTGTGATGGCGGCATACCAAAGGGACACAGAAGTCAACTTGAAGAAACTCCCACTGGCCAAATCTAGAACAGTTTGAGCAGCAAAGGAAATAATAAGTGATTATAATTCGTTGAATAAAATAAGTCTGTACAGATATATATTCATAAATGGAGAAGAGAAAGGTTTTTCTTACAGTAGAACAGCAACTAATAAATATCAAAGGGATGTTGGTGTTAGAAAATCATCAATAAACACTGAAGCCAATGGTTCAGAAATTTTATATAGGAAGAATGATAATGAAAAGGTGGTAAAACGTAAACAATTGATGAATCCGGGTAACGGCTACATAGAATTTCCTTGTACCAATCTTGTTTCTGTGTACATTTAAAATATCGAAATGAAGTTACCACCCCCCCCAAATAAATGTAAAGAAAATATGGAGCATGCTAGTACTGATATATCTCTAAACATGCTTTCTAATGCTTTTCTTTCCCAGATAAAAACTACTGCTAGGGTGGCGGGTGTTGCGAAGAGGGCCAGAAAGCACAAGAGAGGCTTATAAAGCATTTTACTATTTATTTGGACGTTCCTGGTGTTTCGCCATCCTGTATTTGTTTTGTTTTCTAAACGAAGCTTTTTCGTTTGATTCACTGCCATTCTTTCCTCTCAGATATTTTAAATTTATTTGTGGCTAGGCCCTTTACCTAACATGATACACAGCATCACATTAAGAAAAACAGCGTCAAAACTTACAAAAAAAAAAACAAAAAACGCCAAGGGCTTCACAGGAGGCGGGATTCCCCTCTCGGTTCACACGGAGGAGGGCGGGAATAAGACCAGCGCAAAGCTTCCGCTTTCATTTCTAACATTATAAGTCAACCGTTCTGGTTAAAGGAGTAAGGCGGAAGGGTGATTTTCTGTCGGCAAACACTTCCCTGGTGACGAGTCCAACCATGACATAGGGATGCCACAGTGTCAGATCACAATAGGTACTCTGTGAGAGCTCAAACGCCGGATTAGATGACCTAGTTTGTGGTAAAACATTAAATTTCAATACACTTGACCTGTCAGTTTCATTCCCTTACATCTGTCTCTAAAATATTGAACTTCAGGGGTAGACTCTTCCCCCTCCATTCTTGGCCAGTGGTTTGATCCGACTCGAATACTGACAGGAGGGACGAACTGCGTCTGCGCAGAAGGCTGTTGGGGGGATGGGGGGAGGAACATGGCGCAAGCTCTGTCTGAGGAGGAGTTTCAGCGGATGCAGGTGCCGCTCGCCGGGGAAAAGACCACCGCGTTAACCAACGGGGGGCGGGGTAGAGAGAGATCGTGCCACCGGCTCTGAGAAGGGGTTGGTTGGGATGGACCTTGAGTCTAAGGGGTTGGTCTGGAGAAGGGAAACTGAGGCTCTGAGTGGTGAGACTGTTGGATTCTGAGAGACTATTGGGCTCTGAGGGGTTGGATTCTATTAGCTTTGTGGGCGGAGGAGAGAGGCTTAGAGTGGGTGATACCTTACTCAGACCTTGAGGGGATGAGACTTTTGGGCCCGAGCGAGGGACACCATGGGGCGGTGATGATAACATTGGGTTTTGAGGGAAGGAAATCCTGAGAGGGCGAAACCATTTTGTCTGGAAAGGAAGGAAGCAGGCGTTGGACCATTTGCGTCATAGTGGGGGAGCCCTTGAGAGGGCAATACCATTACCCGGTGGAAGGTGGAAATGTTTGTGGGAGATACCACTATGCCAGGGAATTGGGGAAAGACCCCACATGTTGTCATTGTTCTTGAGAGGTGAAGATCCTGTGTGAGTGCTGGTAGTGGATCCTGAGAGGGGGCGGTACCATTAGGTGATTACAGGTGATCCCATTAGGTCTGGGCTGAAGAGGACCCTGACTGGGTAATACCGTTAATTCCTGTTAGAGAGAAGACTAGAAGAAGTTAAAGAGTGATACCTCGGACCACATGGAGGGGAAATTACGGGGCTTTATGGAGGTACCTTAATTGGGTACCCTGACCACTTGGTTCTTTTGGGGATGACCCTGAGATGGAATGAAAGGCCAGAGTAGGCCCTTGTTGAGAGAGTTCCTTACTGGGAAAGACCATTGGATTTTGTATGGGGGGGAGACTCTGAAAGGGGGAAGCCCTGAGTAGGATCCTTTGGGAGAAGAGGAAGAACTCCAAATGAGTATAGGTAATCCATTGATCCTTGAATGAGAGAAACCAGTTGTCCCTGTGTGATGGAGGCTTAGAGTGAAAGGTTAAGATCACTGGACCCTGAAAGGGGAAGTTAAAACTTGTAGCTTGTGTGGGGAGATTCCAAATGAGTAAGAGTAATCCAACTGGCCCACCCAAGGGTTTGTGGAGGAGAGACCCTGAAGGATGTAGGGTCATCACATTGGATCATGACTGGAGAGTTCTTGAGGGATGTGGAGGACCCTTGGGTGAGAAAGATTGACTTCACTGGGCCATGAGTGAAAGAAAGAACATTTGGCTCTGATGGATAGGGTTTCTACATGTATGGCAAGGGTGTACAACTTGGGTCAAGACAGGGAGACAGATCACAGGGTCTGGTAGAGAAACAGGGGCAAGAAAGATTCTGTTGAGGCCAAGCCCTCTGACCTTAAGCGGACCACCAGGGGTTGGAGGCTGGTGCCATGGGAGGAGGGAAAGATCTTGGTGTGGGGTAAGGGACTGTAGGTCTGGGAAGAACTGGCCCCAGTGCCCTACAGGGCTGTTAGGAAGGATACACTATTTGGAGTGGCCAATACTTCACTCTACCTTAATTCTTGAAAGTAGTTTGGATGTGTTTTGAGAGCTTTGGGGGTGAGGAGGACCCAGGGAGCCCCCAACTTAGTGTAAGTTGGACAAGAGTATACTAGGCTCTCTTCCCTTGAAAAGAAGGAGGAATGCAGGCCCTTGCCCCCTATACTCAAGGGCCTCCAAATCTGAACAAGAGTACAGACAATACTCTCCTATGCCAAAGATAGAACAGTGTTTAGTGTCTGATGAGGCCAGTGAGGATGAGGAGGAACTTTATCTTGTGGGCATGGAGAACCATGGAACATGCATATGAGCAAGAACTTGCTGGAGCAGTGCTCTGTCATGGCCTGAGTGCAGAGTGAATTAGAAGAGGAGGGAAATTAGAAGAGGAGGGAGGGAAGAGTGAGGCTGGCTATGGTTGAGTAGAGCTAGAGAAGGTAGAAGATGGGCTGAGGGCCTGAAGGCTCATTTAGGATGCAGGATGCATAGGTCTTTAGAAGTGGCTAAAGAGGCACATGGAAGGCAGCAGGGTCTATGGGGCTCAGGATTGGTACCCTCACTGAGAGTAGGGACACATTCCTGACCAAGTCATTTCCCTTCCCTACCTCCCCCAAGGCTCAGCTCCTGGAACTCCGGACAAATAACTACCAGCTTTCAGATGAACTACGCAAGAATGGTGTTGGTGAGCCAAGAGGGTCTCATTAGATGGGGGAGGGGTTGGGGAGACAAAGGCCAAGGGAAAAAACCTCAGAGTCCTGGCAGGAAGACCTTTCAGCTTACTGCCACTGACTGAGGCTGAGATTCCCTGCTTTCCCCACACCAGAACTCACCAGTCTTCGACAGAAGGTCGCCTACCTGGATAAGGAGTTCAACAAAGCTCAGAAGGTACTTCCCTCCACCCATTCACCCACCCATGCTTCCCTGTAGCCGTCTGACTCATTCATCTATCCAGTGAGCACCTACAGGGAACCAGACCTAATGTTACATGCTGTCAGCAGTGATTCAAAAAAACTCTCATGGAAGTCTCTTTAGTTTGCTAATTTTATCTAATCCTGCTTAATTATTGATTACTTTTAGTTTACTCTTAATTCATTTTCAATTTCAATTACTCATTCTCATTCGCTACCTTCAAACTAGTTACATCCAGGGGCACCTGGCTAGCTCAGTTGGTGGAGTATGTGACTCTTGATCTCCGGATTGTGAGTTCAAGCCCCACATTGGGTGTAGAGATTAAAAACAAAAAAATCTTGGGCTGCCTGGGTGGCTCAGTCAATTAAGCGTCCGACTCTTGATTTCGGCTCAGGTCATGATCTTGTGGTTTGTGAGGCTTTGCACTTGGTATTCTCTCTCTGCCGCTCCCCTGCTCACGCTCCCTCTCTCCCTCTCTCTTTCAAAATAAATAAACTTTTAAAAATATTTTAAGAAACAGTCACATCCAAAAAACTGAGGACTGATGGATGTGTGGGGGAGGGGGGGATGGGCATGGAGGAGGACACTTGTGGGGATGAGCACTGAGTGTTATGTGGAAACTAATTTGACAATAAACTATTTGTAAAAAAAAAAATAAAAAAATAAAAAAGAAACAGTCACATCCATACGTGAATTTGCCTTGAATCTGCCTTTTTAAATTGTATTAAAAAATTTTTTTAGAGAGAGAGGAAAGAAAAGAGCATGCAAGCAAGGGAGAGGGGCGGGGTTGGGGGGGGAGAGAGAGAGAGAGAGAGAGAGAGAGAATCTTAAGCAGGTTCCATGCTCAGTGCAGAGCCCAATACAGGACTTGATCCCTGGGATCATGACTGGAGCCTAAATCAAGAATCAGACACTTAACCAACTGAGCCATCCAGACTCTCCCCTTGAATCTGCCTTCTAGCCTCCACTCACACTCCTGCCTTGTGCTCTCACTTCCCATCCCTGTCCTGGTCCTGTTGGTAAATTGGGACTAAACCTAAGTCTCAGATCATCTGAAGATAAATCACATGTAACCTATTATGGCCGCTCAAGGCATTCAAGGCCGTCCTTTGTCTCTTCACTGCTCTGTCCCCATGTATAGCTCAATGTTATGTGCTCCATAAATTTTTGTTAGATGAAGGAATACAGAATGCAGAAAGTCTGCTAGTCCTGAAGCTTGGCTTCTCTTTGGTAGGGTGCTGATTGTCCAACCTGACAGTGCCCTCAGCTGCCCAACAAAGGAGCAGCAGTTTTCACAGTGCATGGGAGGGATCCACATAGATGTTTTTAGACTGATGTAGAAATGAAGCCACAATTTCTGATCCCACAGACCTAGCCCATGAAGGGTTAAATACTAAAATTCATGAACAGTCTCCAGAGCTTAGAGGAAAACTTGTAAGCAGGATGTCCTTCACTCACTCACTTAACTCCATCATTCACGTGGTCTACAAATTTCATGCAAGCTCTGTGTTTAAAGACACTCCCATCCCCCAACCCATCATCATTGTCCCCCCCCCCCGACACTTGCCGCAATGTCTCCATACCCTAGTGAGGGAGTTCATCTCTGTTCACCTTATCTCTCTTCCCACCCCCTCACCTATAGGCACTGAGCAAGAGCAAGAAAGCTCAGGTAAGGGGACCCATGATGGGTGAATGTGTCTGCAAGACTGAGGGGTGATATTTCTGTATGCTGGGATCTCCTAGTACTGGCCTTTCTTTCTCTGTGTGTGCACTCACATCTGTGATTACCTCACTGCCATGTTTCTGTGTCTGTCTTTATTTTCCAATGTTTCTCTCACTCTGTGCCTCTCACTGTGTGCCTTCCCTTCTCCCTTTCTCCCTGTCCTTCTCTCTGACTCTCTCTATGCCTCTCTTCCTGTTCCTCTCTGACTCTTGCTTCTCTCCTCATCCAACGTTCCCTTTTTCTCTCCCCCACCTGTTCCTGTCTGCCATCATTTCTCTTCTTTCCCTTTCTTTATCTCTCTCTCTCTCTCTCTCTCTCTCTCTCTCTCTCTCTGGCTCCTTGTTTCTCTCCCCCTGTTCCTCTATCTCTTCCTGACTCATTTTTTCCCCTGACCCCCTCTCTCTCCCCTCTGTTGTGTTCTCCCTTCTTTTTGGCCTCTCTGTTCCTATCTTTCTTCCTGCCTTTTTTTTTTCTCTCTCCCTCTCCATCC